CAAAGAGAAATATCATTTATGTATGAGGAATTTCAGCAGGTTCTTATCTTTCACATAATACTCTCCCTTCTAGGAATGCAGCGTGGTTTCAGTTTTCATGATGATGCACTATGTGATACCAGGAGGAAACAAACTTCCCAGGTGGGATTCCGAGATTGGTTTGCTTATCTATGATCTTAAATGAGGGGCTGACCTTCCTGCTAATGAAAAATGGGATAGTTATCAATGGCATGACTGGCATCACAATTAACTAAATGTCATCTGTGGCTTCTTGGGATGAAATAATTACTGAAAGCAAGGCTTTTGAAGACCCATGGAGCTACTGTGTTCGACCTTCACACCAGCAATGATGACTACAAGGACTGTGGGGTGGGATGGCTGCGTCTAACGAGCTCAGCCCTTGAAACGCTCAGCTCAGGTTACAGTCAGAGAACTAGAGTACTTCGAGGGTAGCTCGCAAATAATCACTTACTTCTTACAACTAACTGCAGGGAAGACCCCAAATCTAATCATGTGGTCGACAGAATTATAAGCTGAAATCTCAGACTCATCAAGTCTCTTACGTGAAATTTATGACATTGGTTGGAAAGAAGTGGGACCTGAGGCTCAGAATGGGGACCTCTGCGTGGATTCAGAAAACTGAATGGTTGAGCCTCCCTGGTGTCCCCTCTGATGTCTCCCTAAGGTCAGACAAGATCAGCTTCATGTAGTCTGTGGCTAAGCATCTTCCCACTCATACAGAAAGAAGGATGTATCTCAGCTCAAAATAGACCTATGCCGGTTCCAGAGCATCCAAATCAGTACACTGATGTGTGTGAATGTGCCGTGGAAGTCAGCTGGATTCGGAATTAAGCTCATATTTTTCTGTCTTCTAGAAGCTCACAGATGAAAACAGAAGAGTCATAACCATATGACTAATCAGCAAAGGATGAATGCTTGTAATGAATGGGTAGGAAAAGAGGGGAGATGTGGACACGGAGCCTAGCAGCAGGGACACTGCTGGCTTTCATGACTCCGACCATAATTTTGCTCTCTGTGGCTCAGTGGTTCGTCTCAAAATGAACCAAAAGTGAGTCTTGCCAACCATAAAAATAAGAAAATTCACACACAGTGGACACTAGATAAATCCTTTTTAAATGGAACTAAACTGAATCATAGTCAGCATCCAGTGGTGAGCCTAAAACAAGACAAAACTACAAACCTGTCGAGAGATAAGAATGCATTTCAAACCCCCAAATCTGTTGGAGTTTCATGAGATTTCTGCATCTCTGAGCAGCAGAAGGTAAGTCCAGGGTGTGGGGAGCAAGGTCTGCATTTGTTTTGTTCTTAAGTGCAGGAGAGGCGAGGGCAGCTGAGAACAGGAGAGGGTCGCGTTAGGAGATGTGAGATGCTGAAAACATTGCCTGCTTTGATAGTTTCAGGGAACTACCCACAAAGCTAGCTGGATTCACTCCAGATGGCCACGGTGGTGTGGCTGGTGAAACCATTAACACACAGAAAGCAGTCAAAAATGTCTCTTTGGCCTTGAAGATACCAAACCCTTATTCCCAGTGAATGATGCAGGATGCTCTCAGGGGCCCCAAGAGGTGCTGTGGGAACCACAGAGCTGACAGGAGCAGGTGGAACGGGGCAGAGCCCGCAGTCAATTTCTCAGCCCGCATCTAGGAAAGATTTAAGTTCAAGGATACTTTTCTGGGGGTGACAGTTTTATCAGTTCTTCCAAGGACTGTACCTAACTGGTACTGAGATGCATTGGAGAGAAGTGGATTTCCTAAAGCGAGGAGTGCCTCAGGGCACTGGGCTTAAAGGCCTCCAGGGGCCTGAGTGAGAGAGTGCAGGCTTCCAGAATCTGGGCTGAAGGAGAGATCCTGGCAAAAGCATCCAGGAAAGGGGAAGTCTGGTCCCCAACTGGTGTTCGGACAAAACTCATCTCAGCTGCAGAGGCTGAAAGAAGTTTTGCAGGAGCGAGCCAAAGAGGACGCTCTAGGCACGGGGCAGAAGTTTGGCTTTTCTGTTAACTCCGAGCAGTCCCACCTATGCAGTGCATGCACGCGTGCGCACACACACACACATGCACAGAGTCCCAGCACTGAAGGCAACTTGGCCCTGGCCAAGAGAACAATTCCAGATCTGACTGCCTGTCTTCCATTCTGCCCTCTGGAAATCCAGCTCCACACTCCCACTGGAACCGTCTGGCTCCTGCAGGCTCCGTGTCCAGGAAACCCCGCCGAGTTCGCTAATCCAGGGAGGTTACTGTTACACTCAGAGCCCAGCAAGGCCACCCCCTCCCAAAGAACCACCAAATGAAAGCCTCCTGTGCAGACCCAGGTTGCACAGATGCAGGCTAATTCCATCCGGGCCTCGTGCCGAAGGTGTGACCTCACCGTCGGGCAAACCGGCAGGGACCCCAGCAGGGAACGATCGGTGTGTGGGCCAGACCTGCTTCTAATCACGGCCAGCTGGGATGGAGGGAGGCACCGCTGCCTCTCCTGCCGCCCCTGGGTGCCAGGACCAGGAGGCATGGTCATCTTACAGCGAAGAATCTCAAGTTCTGGCCCAGACACTTTCTGTCTGCAGTGGGCAGTATCCCCATCAAAATCTCTGCCATTCCACAAGTTTCATGCCAAAGAGAAGCTTAATTAGGTAAGGCCAAATCTCTGTGGAGAATCCCCTGGGACAGAAGCTGGGAGAAGGGATATAATTAGAAACTGACTTTTTGTAAAAACAGAATAGCTCAAAAGACCCCATTCAGAGGACACTGAGAAACAGTAAATCTGTCCATAGCCAGAACCCAGGACCGCAGAAATTTCACTTACCGGCATCATTTACAAAACAGAAAGACGGTCAGCCTGGGCATTCTTCCCTTGGCTCCTTCCACACTGAAGCATTTAGCACACTGCAAAAGGCAATTCCTCTTGCCTACACTGCCGCGTGGTTTTTATATATTCTGAACTGAAACTTTCATGGGCAACAGAACGAAACTTCAAGGAAGCTACACTTCAAAGGTAAATAACTGTGTTTTCACCTGGTAGAGTCACCATGGAAAAGCTCATGACTTGAGCTTCTGTTAAAGGAACTAATGGAAATTCTCTACACACGTTGCTTGGAAGTTCTGCCCTCAGCCTTGGTAGCTAAGTAGGATGTTCCAAATAAACTGGTGATGCCTGCAGTCTCTTAAACCGCATCTGCTCTAGATTCTGCTTGAGTCCCTTGGACCGCACCATCACACGAGATCCCCTGGGGGCTCCAAGCCCTCATGGAATCAGGGAGGATTTGCAATAATGTAAAACTTCCCCATGAGCCGGGGTCTGATGAATGAATATATAAAGACCAAGGGTGGACTTTGATGAAGACCCTTAAATCTCATAGGACTAACTCTCCCACGAGAGCCCCAGCTCATTTTGCCTAATGTTGCTAATTCCATTTTCTTTCAGTCCATTTGACCATGTTTGATTTTCTGAATTGTGGGAGGAGAATCAAAAACACAACAACATTCTTCATTCCATACAGAGGGGTAGAGATGAAGATTTTTATTATTTTCAGAAAAGAAACTCTTTCTTTTTTTCTGGAAACACACCTCCGAAATGAGGAAAAGAATCCACAGAAAAGACTCCACTCTACAACACGGGCTCTGCTCCAGCTTCTCAGAAATACCTCTAAATACAAAGTAAGGTCGAACCAGGCTTGCGAAGACCCAGTGAGTCACAACCAATCGGAGCTGTGAGGACAGGCTGGCATGGCACACACAACTGAACATCCCTGATAAAACGTCTCTTTCCTGAACCAGAAAATAGATGCCCACAGCTGCACTTGGCGGTGGGTGATGGGCTCCATCCGCCATATGGTCACCCTTATTATCATCCTTTCAGCAAGGCCAGCAGGATAATGGGACAGCCACGTTCTAATTAGTCTGCAGGCCAAGCAAAATCTCCTTACCACGGTCTCGGTCTACTCCTCCAAAAGACTTTCTTCCCCTGCTCATCTCTTCCCCTTTACTTGGTCTGTGCTTCGTGCTCATGGGGACCCGATAGTTCTCAGAGCCCCCCATTCTGGACGCCTTCTGCCTGGAATCAAACTGCTTTTCAGAGGGGAAGAGTGTGTGCTGAAGAAATAAAATAAGGAGGCCCCTTCCTGGACCTTCAGCTCAGGCGAGATCTTAATGCCAGGAAGGTCACGGCCAGTTTGGGACAAACTCTTAGGGTTTTAGCGCAGGAAAGAACCTGAAAGATAATCCCATGCGGACACTTTTCAGAACTGCTTAAACACAGTGGAACTCGTTCCCTCAGTGAATGACCCTTTCCCTTTTTCTCAATGTATCTGGAAACCTAGTATGTAAAACAGAGAGAAAAGAAGTGATTACAGCTAAACAATGGGATATGATCTGGCCGTGAAAAGCAACGAAGTGGTGCTACAGGCTACAACACAGAAGAACCTTTCAAATATTATGCTATGTGAAGGAAGCCAGGTACAAAGTGTGTCATACGATTTCATTTACATGAGACATCCAGAGGTGAGTCCACTAGACAGAAAGTAGCTTAGTGGCTGCCTGAAACTTGGCAGGGATAGAGGACTTGGGAGGTGATGACTAAGAAGGACAGGGTTTCTTTTTGGAGTGGGGAAAGTGTTCTACAATTGATTACGCCATTGGTTGCACAAGTCTGTGAATATTCTCAAAGCCACTGAACTGTACAGGTTCCCTGGGTGAACTTTATGGCATGAGAGTTCTGTCTCAATAAAGCCGCTTCCAAAACAAAACAAACCTGTTCCCACTGGGCCACCAGCCAGGCCTCCTTCCTCACCCGACTCCCTCTGGTGGCCCCAGAACTACCTGTGCAGACCCCTAGGAGCCTCCGGAATGTTGTCTGAAAAACCCTGATCTAGTTCAAGTTTCCATTCCTCAAATGTCAACCGAGACATGAAGCCGAGTCTTCCGACTGTGAGCGCGTGGCCCTCTGACCCCCAGGGCTCGCTGACGGGCCCAGGCTCGCCCCGGGGCTCACCGTCCATGTCCAGGCGCTGCATGATGATGGCCAGCTCCACCTCGCTCGGCATGTACCCCAGAGAGCGCATGGCCATTCCCAGCTCCTGCTTGGAGATGAAGCCATTCCCGTCTCGGTCCAGAACTCGAAAGGCCTCTCGGATTTCTACAAGGGGAAAGCAAAGAAAGGCCAAAGGTCAAGAGGCTTGGTCTACTGCGTTGAAATCACCGGCGACTGCTGAAAGCCTCTAAATAAACTGCTTTACAAGTAGTGATATGTCAAAACCCTTTAATCCGGTAACAGGGTGGCCAAAAGAGGAACAAAAGAAAAGAAGGGTGGGGGGAAGGGAATGAGAGGAAAGGAAAAGGAGGAGAGAGGGAGAAAAAAAGAAAAACAGTTTGGAAGGAAGAAGGAGGTAATTGGCCTCGAGTACCCTAAAACAGTGTAGTGCACACACAATTAGACAGTGGTCCCAGCTAAGGATCGTGTTAGCCAAGGACACTTTGCCAACAAGGATGAGGGTGAGGTTTTGCCTGTGAGAAGACGGCTACCTCTTAGCTTGGGCCATTAGGACAAAAGGAGAATGAGACTCCCCTTTGCAGACCTTTATTCCAGCTCCCCGCTGCTGCAGGAACCGTGTAGAAAGCTTTCTCAACCTCATAGGAGGACAGGAATTAAGTATCCTGCTGTTTTTATTTCATTCCTCTAATTTACAGCATCTTTATGGCTATAAACAACCTCAGATCAATAAGGGCGTCATAAAAGCCCAAAACGCATCTTTAATCACATTCTCTAGGGCTGGCGGAGAATTTGACTCCGCCGTCACTAAGGCCATTTCACCCAGCAGGGGACTCCCATCCTCTTACTCAACCCGGAGCCCTCCCGCCAGAGTCCCCGCTGCCTGTTTGCCCTGGGTCGGCTGAGCACTTCCTAACACACCACACCCCTGCGAGGCACGCCGTGGGAATCTGATGCGAGATCACAGCCTGGAGATTAGAGGTTCGTCAATCGTATATGAGTACCAGGCATGGATGGCTTTGATTTTTTCATCAATAAACCTGGTGTGAGCCCAGCACAGCAACTGTCAGCCTTTCTCATCTCCTTCAAGTATTGGCCACCTATACCTGAGGTCATATCCATTTACTGTCGTTCCTCGGTGTCTGCAGGGGATTGGCACCAGGACGCCGAGGATACCAAAATCCATGGTTGCTCAAGTCCCTTAATATAAAACATATAAAACGGCGCAGTACAGTTCGCCCTCGTATCAGTGGGTTCAGCCCCCTTGGATACGGAGGGCCACGTGTACGCGTCTCTTCTCCAAATACCTGACTGGCCTCCCAGCAATGACCTGGAACCCTGACCCAAGCCGGCTTTCCCTTTCCTACTTGTATTAAATTCCTGTGGCTGCTATAACCAATCACACAGACTTGGTGGCTTAAAAGAACAGAAATTTATTCTCTCACAGTCTGGAGGTCAGAAACCTGAAATCGGTTATCACTGGACCAAAACCCAGGTGTGGATAGACCTGCGCTCCCCCGCGGGCTGCAGGGAAGATCCTCTCCCAAGTCTGCTTCGCGGCTTGTGGCCGCATCACTCCGATCTCTGCTCTGTGGTCACATCCCCTTCTCTTCTGTCTGTGATCTCCCTCTGCCTCCCTCTGATAACGATGCTCGTGATTGTCTTTAGGGACCTGCTGGACAACCCAGGATAGTTTCCCCATCTCAAGATCCTTAACTCAATGACATCTTCAAAGACCCTTTTTCCAAAGTAACATTTACAAAGTTCCAGGGATGACAATCTGATGCCTTTGGGGGTTGTTTTTCAGACCTCTACACTCTCCCATCCAGTACATCCACCTGAAACACCTTGCCTTCCTCTTGACCCACCCAAATTACATGGGTCCTTCAGGGCCAAGTCAGGGGCTGTGTATGTCACCAGAACGCCTTTGCTCACCGCAGCCAAGTTACCTCCCTCCCTGCCGACTGTTCAGCAGGCCATTTACTCCTTTCATGTCACATCTAGCACGTGCTGTCTAGAAATGCGATGCAGAAACACACACAGCGGCTTCTCTGAGCCGCTAGCTCCTCGTGTGTTTCATTTCGCTGTACGTTCCCACCTACGCTCTGAAGGGGGCGCTGGATGGACGGCTGTTCCACACACTACGGGTCTGAGCAAGTAAGGACCAGATATTAGCAGCAAATTCATTACTGATACTAATTCAGCACACTGAGGTCGTCCTGTGAGTAAACGTGTGCTCCAGCAGAGGCAAGACCAGCCTGTGAGTCAGGACCTCAGGCTCCCGGCCAGGCCTATTAGCTAATTAGGTCTGCAGCCAAACCCCGAGGCTTCGGTGTGTCCATGTGTAAAATGAGCTGGGTTGGCCAAGAGAATCCTTAAGGTCCTCTTAGCCCCTTTCTGAGGATCCGCAGACATCATTAAAGTATTTAAGAAAAGAACAGGAAGCCTGTGTTCTCTTTCATACCCTATTAAACTGCTGTTCAAACATCCTGCTTTTTTCCATTGATGATATAGGAAATGTTTTAGTCCCATCCAAATTCTGAGTCAAGAGGTCTGTCTGCACGTTTAGGCTTATTTCTCATCAACAAAACGTGCCCAAGATTACCTAGAGCAGCCATGTGTTTTCCTACCAAGTGCCAGGTGGCCCTCGAAGAGCTTAGAGCCACTGCTCAGTCTGAGGTCAGGGCACGTTTTGTTGACTATGGCCTCATTTGGCTTGAGCCCAGATGCTAAGGACAGGAGGATGCACAGGGAGGGTCTCCTGAGATGGGAATCAGCCCACAAGGAAGTCTGCCTGGCTCTGCCCTGTGACCAGGGCATCCCTCTCCTTCAGCCTCAGTGTTCCCATCTGAAAAATGGGTTGGCTTAGATCTCCTTCCTGCTTCCGTGATGGGGTTTTACATCAGTGCTGACACATACCAGGCAACAGAAGATGTCAGATGATGACAAGGGCCCTACCTGGGGTCCCAGAAGAGGCTGGGCTCCCAGGTGGGCCAGCTGTAGGTGAGCCCTGCCCCCTCATTCTCTGGGCCACCTCTTTCCTGAGGTACCATCTCCTCTTCCCATCCCTCTGACTCAATCCTGAACTCCCTGGGTTGATGCTATCACTGAAAAGACAGTCCCCTTCAGTTGACAGGGCCCAGCCTCATTCCTGTGGTTCCCTGCATGGCCTAGATCTTACTGGCAAAAGAGCTTGTATCCTTACACTGGCCAACCCAGAGGGGCCTGGTTGGGGTTGTCTGAGAACTTGACCTGGAAATGAGGGCCTTGGTAGATGTGTCTCCCGACCCCCATCAGGCTGCCTGGGCCACTCCCGGCGTTGTCTCACCCCTGGGCTACCGGGTTTGGTAAATCAGACCTCAGACAGGGGTCTCCTCAGAACTGCCCTGCTGGGAAGGGACGTGCTCCCTTGAGGCCTCAAATCCCCAGGGCTTACCTGTCTGCGGTATGCATCCAGGCTGGCCCCACCCCCGCCCGGGACAGGACAGGGCAGGGGCAGCTCAGCTCAGAGCTCTGTTTTCTGGGGCCCCCAGGTAAGTGGGACAAAGCCATCCTTCTCTATTTGCTCCTGTGTGTGTGTGTGTGTGTGTGTGTGTGTGTGTGT